CGACCGGCGGAGTAGGGAGGTTATAGAGTTCCGATGACACGGGAGTTGGACCATCTGAGTTTGGTACCCAGCTGGCCAGTGTATCAATTGTGTACGAGTGCGATGTTGGAGCTGCTGGTGTAATGGAGTTATCAAGTATCTCAAATGTTGTATCAATTAACATTTTTATGTAATATCAAGTGTATCCCTGCTTGTATAAAAGAAATTCATTGCGTCATGCGTATGGCTGAGCGAAAATTATGCTTGTACGTTACTTAAGCTTGTTAGCTCTAGCCATATTTTTGTTTAGTTGGTATTATTCCAATTACAAGATTTATAAGAAGTGCCTAGTTCTCTATTTCTGGTGCTGTTAGGGTTGTATAGGCTTTGACTATGACAATTAGAGATACTATGCGTTATGGGCGCGTTCGGCAACGGATTCGGATCCTCTCCACTAAAAAAAAAATAGGATTATCTAGTTGATGATTATGATTTTTTCTTTTAGTGCAAATTAGGAATGAGTGCAATACACGGGGGTATGGTAAGTGTTAGATTTAGATTGTATCATAACCGCCTACTAAATAATCAATGTTTGAGATTAAAAGTAGTGGTCTCTCCACTACTTTTTTGTAGTGGAGAGGAATCAATGTTTGAGATTAAAAGTAGTGGTCTCTCCACTACTTTTTTGTAGTGGAGAGGATCCAAATCCTTCGGCAACGGGGAAGTAAATGGAAAGTGAAGAGTTCCGCATCAATATTTTAGCCTATTTTACTTTCTCCAGAGATTAGAGAGAGTGAACTGAAAGTGAAGAGAGAGAGAGAGAGAATATATTTTAAGAATTTTTTACGTATAATTTTAGTTTTACTTATCTCATTTCGGCTATTACTTTCGGTGATAAATAATTAAACAGAACAAGAAGAAAGCAATTGTCACATCTAACTTTCTCATCTTTACCTTTAAACATCCAAACAAGATTTTACAAAAATAAAAGTAATAAGAAGGTACCTTCAGAGAAAATACTTTCTTTTTTCCACTTTATGTTTACTTTCTGCTCCTTAGTTACAGAAAAACTCTATAATTCACCAATATCAATTTTTTCTCATGCAGTGACCCCGTGAATAATATTAATTACGTAGATTATATAATTTTTTATGTGGGATCCATGAAATGAACCAATGCTAGCTATTAATACACGTAACTGATTGTCATAATTCTCTATTAAAAATATCTTATTGTAGAACGAATGGACTTTTAATACGATAGACTTTTAGTACCAAATTAGCTAAGTGACGTTACAGAAAATACCAATTTGGTAATATAACTGTTTTCTTAAATTTATTGTAGATTCAATGGAATTTTATTACCAAAAAGTCTTCGGTATACTGTGTTTTATTGGGAATGACAGATAAGAAGAATCTCTCAAATGACAGTGATATACAAATTAACCAGTGGTAAAAAAGGAGAATGAGTGAAACCTTCATAGCGACACTTCAGCTTAAACTTGACCATATCATTGTATGTAGGAAATTACTCCACATAGGGAATGATACATTGACCTCTACTTTCTTACTCCGCTTGTGTTAAGAAGAGCGTATCAAGTGCTCCTTCGTCCTTCTGCTTTTGGCAGTTATCACGGAGCCCTGGGTGAGAATCATATTGGCCATTGTTTAGCACCTTGATTTGAAAATGGCAAATTTCACAAAGCTCCCAATAAATGTAAGCGTTTATTTATTTTACTTTAACTGCAAAACAGACTGAAATACTCAATTAATCCCTGATAAGTTTAGGAAATCGAGAAAATCCAAAATGTTTTATTTTTTAACCTTAATCCTCATAAAAATGTTACTTAGGCCTGTCCAAACGGCCCGGCCCGACCCGGTCTAGATTTTTGGGTTCGGGCTAGGCAAAATGCCTAGCCCGGATCCGAACTCAGAGTGCCCGAACGAGCCTGGGTCTGGGCCAAACCGGAACCCGGCTCCGGGCCGGCCCGTATTTTTTTAGTTTTTGTTTCTTTGATTTTTTTGCAAAAAATTGCTAAAAAAATAAGATTAATCTTATTATATTTATATAAGTATGTATTAGTATATACTTATATATTAGTATATATCTACATATTATATATACAAATATTATATGTAAATATATTGTATATGCTTATAAGTTATAACATGTGTGTGAGAGAGAATCACATAGTATATATTACTTACTTATAAATACATATTATATATATTTGTTACATACTTATATTATGCTTATTTAAGTAATGTACTTTACTTATATAATATACTTTTACATATATATACTAGATGCAATATACTTACATATAATTATACTTATGTACTTATATATACTTATATGACTATAAGTCTATAATATACACATATAAGTATACTTATAACTATATTATATATACTTATATATATACTTATATCTTATTATCTATATCATGGTAAGAGTATATATATAAGTATATAATATAATATACTTGTATACTTACAAGTATGTATGTATATATATGTACTTGAGTACTTAAATATATACAACTATATACACTTAGGACTATGAAGCTATGGTCATTTTCCTCAATAAAATCACATACACTAGAAATATATATACACATTAATGACCATATCATTATACAATTATATATAAAAAATATATACAATATATATAAAAAATATATAAATTTAAAAACCGGGTTGGGCGGGCCTGGACCGGGCCTCACCAACATAACCCGGGCCGGGCCTAGAGCTCATTCGGCATGGATTTTCCGGGCTTTTCCTGAGCTTGGGCCATGTTCGGGCCCAGCCGGGTGCAAGCCGAAACCCAATTGGACACCGCTAATGTTACATACACCAAGTAGCATTAATTTAGAGTTTTGGAGGGGGGGAGTCATGAGAAAGAATATTTTGAGATTGGAGCTCCGACGTGAGAGCGAATTTTAGTAGAGTGAAGAAGAAACAAAAGGGGAAAAAGATTTTAAGGTGAAAAATGAACAGGAGGACATGAAGGTTTTTCATTATGTATTTTGTCTTTTAACAGAACACGACCTGTTAGAACTGATAATGTTCGGAGATTTTCTGGTAAAAACTATTTACAATAAGTGAAAATCTCAAACTGTTTTAAGTGAAAAATTCCCAAACTTATTGGTGGGTTTTGTGAAACTTTCCCTTTAAAAATATCTATTTTTCGCTTCTTGTTGTACATTCGACATGTATGTATTCTGTGAGGGGTATTTTGGTAATGGGGAATCAAATTGCAAGACTCACTAGGAATATTCGAGAGGCAGATAAGCAATTCCAAAGACTTGAAGGACTAATATGGAAGTATTGATGTCTCGAGGCTCTTGGTGCTGCTTTGAGCGATGCCGAACTCTATGATATTTATTAAGAGCGAAGAACGTGGATAATGGAGACCGACTCCTCCTCCTCTGTAACCCCTTAATCGCCTCTAAACAAACTCTACCGACATATGTTTATTATATACAAAGAGAGAAAAGAATCCAATCAATTTGAGTCCCCAATCTTCCCCCCACCAAAAAAAGAAGAAGATCGAAGAAAAAAAAGGAAAATCAATCTCCGATCAGTACAGAATGCAACCGCAGCAGCAGCAGCAGAAGTCTCCGAGCACCGTGAGTTCTCCGATATATAGTTGGGCAACTATCTCTTTATTTTCGTAAAAACATTTCGCAATCTGTGCTGTACATGGATCACTTGTAAAATGTATTTGCATTTCGTGTCATCTCAGCATTTCTCAAGGGAGGAAAACTCAGCACCGGTACCGGTGGTCGTAGTCTCACTGATAATCAGCAATGCCCGATCAAAGGGGGCCACAACACGGCGACGAGCAGAAGAGACCCGAGAAGCATCGGATGCACGCATGAGAAGCGAGGCATCTGCTGCGGTGCTCAACAAAGCATAGCCTGATCAGATGCACCGACACCAACGACATCCCTGGAAAATACGAGGAAGCGAGCACATCTCCGATCGGTCCCAACTCCGGACACTCTGCTCGCTCGCTCGCTCGTCCCCGCTGTCAATGCTGAGTCATCCTCCTTTCCCTTCTCTACTATAAACAGCTGACATCTACCCCTTCCAACACTTTGAGCGTCTCCACTGCTTCCGGACCATCTGCTTGCACTTTCTTCTGTTGCGCGCCGTGCGGAAGCGTGCTCGACAACCAAACGAGTCCGCGAGCGATGAGAGAAGAGAACTAAACCAAACACGAGTACAATCACCAAAAATACGACACAAATCAAACAAACACAGAGAATTTACGTGGTTTGACAAATTGCCTACGTCCACGATGAGAGGATAGAAAGATTTCACTATATGGAGGAGAAATACAACGGGTTATAACCCACACAATCACTTAAATATAACCCTAACCAAAGATCTTAACTCCCTCACAATATCTCCCTTTTAATATGCTCAAAAGACTCTTTTTTCTCTCTAATTCTCTCTACCAATTTTCTCTTTTAAAACGTTCTATATATATAGAAATCCTAAAACCAAAATCAAAAAAGATTAGGAATCCTAATAACATGTTATCAAAACAGATTAGGAATCCCAATAACCTGTTACCAAAACAGATTAGGAACCTACAATCTAATAATTCTCCACATTGACGAAGTGTTTCCAAAACTGAGCCGACACCAACAAGAGCACCAATGTGTCGTCTCTCTAAATCTGGCTACACCAATGTGGTTGCCTACGTATCCCCTCCCAAGGGATCAAGCTGCCCGTAGTTCATCCAAATGACCGCGAACGGCTTCAACAGTTACGAATTTGTAACAAGTTTTTACAATGGTCAAACTTGTTGCTTGGGACCATTTTTGTGAGCATATCCGCTAGATTATCTTTTGTGTGGACCTTCACGAGCTCCACATCCCCATCTTTAAGAACATCTAGAATGAAGTAATAACGAACGTCGATATGCTTCGTTCTCGCATGAAAGACCTGATTCTTCGCCAATAAAAAGTACTCATGCTATCATAATAAAAGGTGACGGATCACTACGAAACACCAAGATTCTCCAAAAGTCCTCAAAGCCAAATCGCCTCCTTAACAGCCTCCGTAATCGCCATATACTCTGCCTCCGTCGTCGACAAAACTACTTTAGACTGCAAGATGCATCTCCAACACATAGACACACGGGTCAAAGTGAACACATACCCCGTCGTTGACTGGCATTTATCCAAATATCCAGCGTAGTCCGAATCTACGTATCCAATACATAGCTGCCCACCGCTAGTGTTCCGCTCAAAAACCAAACCAATGTTAAGATTACCTCGAATGTACCTCAAAATCCATCTCACGGCATCCCAATGACCCGGACCTGGGTCGTGCATGTATCTAGAAGCCATGCTCACTGCCTGTGACAATCCGGCCTCGTACAAACTATGACGTACATCAAACTTCTAACTGTGCTCGCATATGGAGTCTTTAACATCAACTCTTGATCTTCAACTATCTTCGATGAAAGGTTAGCTAAAAGCTTCAAATGGGTTCCCAATGGTACACTAACTGGCTTCGTTCCCATGCTCACATTAAACCGCTGTAAAACCTTCTTCAAATAAGCTACCTGCGCCAAATAAATTCTGCCATTATCTCTGTCTCTGTTGATTTCCATCCCCAAAATACGCTTAGATTCACCCAAATCCTTCATGTCGAACTCACTCGAAAGCTGAATCTTCAATCTATCTTTCGTGGATCTGGAACTAGAAGCAACTAACATGTCATCGACATAAAATAATAAATAAATATAAGTACCTCCATTCAACTTGTGATAGTACACTCAAGGATCAAACTAGCTCCTAATGTACGAATGATCGATCATGAACCCATCGAATCACCTATACCACTATCGCGGAGATTACTTCAACCCGTACAGCGATTTCTTCAACCTACAAACCAATTTTTCTCCTTCCCTGTAGCTCAGAACCCCAATGGTTGAGTCATATAGATTTTTCATCAAGATCACCATGAAGAAATATTGTTTTCACATCTAATTGATCTAATTCTAAACCATACCGTGCCACCAAAGCTAGTAAAATTTGAATCGAATGATGCTTCACCACCGGAGAGAAGACCCCATTGTAATTAATACATTCCTCTTGTGCATATCCCTTCGCAACCAACCTAGCCTTGAACCTCACTGGAGTGTCTTCAATGGCCTCCTTCTTCGTATACACCAACTTGCAACCAATTGCCTTCCGTCTTTTTGGAAGCTTGACAAGCTCCCATGTGTCGTTCCTATGAAGAGACTCCATCTCCTCTTACATAGCCACCTGCCACAAATCAGCCTCTGAACTCTGTTCGGCCTCTCTGAATGTAGTAGGAACCATATCATCGACACTCTCCACCGGAAGTGCATACGTAATAACTGTATCTGTATACCTAGCTGGCATCCGTATGTCTTTCCTCTATCTATGAACCACAATAGAATCCTGAACTTGAGCCGTCGGCCCCTGATCCTGCTCAACTATACCTGTATCCTCCAAATCATCACCGTGCTCACCTGGCGTCACCTCAGTTGGTACTCTAATAGATACGGTCCCATATGGACAATGTGAAATTGCATCAATCTCCACCACCTATGATGCCTCTAATGTCTGGTCGCTCTCCACCTGATAAAATCTGGGAAGCTTCAAGATAGAAATATCATCGAATATGATGTCTCAACTCAGCACAATCTTCTTATTAACTGGATTTCAAAGCTTGTATCCCTTGACACCACACTTGAATCCCACAAATATGACCTTTCTAGCTCGATGTTCCAATTTATTTGTTCTAACATAATAAAATACAGGACGCCCAAATACCTTGAACTGATCATAGTCGTGTACTGGCTCTCGCGATCACATCTCCATAGGGGTCTTTCCCTCAATTGCAGATGAATGCAGTCTATTAATAAGGTAGCTCGCATAAGAAAGTGAGCCCAAAGATCTTCTCCAAACTACTTCGCAACAATAAACATTGGACATTCTCCTGCAAAGACAAATTTAACCTTTCTGCCACCCCATTCTGTTGCGGTGTGTGACTAACTGTAAAGTGCCTCTCTATACCCTCGTCTCGACATAGCTGCTGAAAGGGGTCAGAAGTATACTCAACCACGAAAAAGGTGGTTAAAGGTCGTGGGAGAACGGTTTCAAGCACGAGTGAACGTGGGTGTAACTGCCCCTTTAGCCGCGGCAGTGTCGACTGCCGCGCTCTTTTGGCCGCGACAGTGTCGACTGTCGCGCCTTTAGCCGCGACAGCATCAACTGCCGCGCCTAAAGAGGCATTTGTTGATCGACTATTTCTTCAGTTATCGTCCAAGGAGGCTATAAATACCCCCTATGGCCATCATTGACAAGGGCGGAGCATTTCCAGAGCAGATTAGAGCAGAGAGCCTTGAGTTTTGGTGAATTAGAGCAAGAAAGAGAGTCTTCCTTCTTCACAAACATCCTCAAGAAGCTTTTGGCGATTCCTAGAGATCTAAGCTCAGACTTGATCTTTGGAAGAGTGAACATCTTACATCGATAAGATATTCGCTTTCAAATCTTTACTTCGATAAACGAAGGAAAGCTCCCCAAACCCCTCACGGTTCAATCAGAATCTGTGATTTGGTAGTCCACGAGTCAAAGCGCTCCCGGCACAGGCAAAGATCCCACGCAAGCAGCGATCCAAACAACGATCCTGCGTTTGTTTCTCAAGAGTTGTAATTTTTAATTTTGTTGTGTAAAAGAGGTCTTATAAGATATAATGAATTCCATGACAAAACCAACTTTTGACGCAAACAAGCTGGCGACCACAGTGGGAGCCAACGGTCTCGCTGCCGAGACCGTCGTGTCGCAGCCGATCAAGATTCCAGTTGAATCCATGGTCGAATACGAATTCGACCAAACCAAGTTTGAGGAATATCTCTCATCATCCTCTTCAAGATCTTCTTTGTCCCGTAAGTACAAGAGGATCTCACAATTGAGGAAGAGTTATATGCCAAAGAAGGCACAAAATGAAGACTCTCGCTTGATTGTTGCTGAGGATTTTACTAGCAACACCTCTGCTCACAATGGCTCTTATCTAGTTAAAGAGTCATCGAATCAAAGCCCACCGGCACTGACGAAGAGAGCTCGTCAGAGAACAAACCGACGGAGTTCGTTATCATGCGGACTTAGAGTCGAGAAGGCATCGAGTGGTTCAGTTGTCTCAACGACCAATCATTCATGTCTCTGCTAAACTCACGACGGAGGAATGGACTATTGTCAAAAGGACTCGTTCGACCCTCAAAGAACGTATACAAAAACGTCGTGCAAACGCTGCTCATTTTCGAGCTCTCCTACAACAAAAACGAGAAAAGAGGAAGGAAACGGTGGCCAAAGAACTACCGAAACTCCGCCAAGTTTGGATTCCAAAGTCTGGACTTATGCAAAATCAGCATTCGGAGCCCGTTAAGACTCCATACCCGCAAGGGGGTGGTTTTAAACGTGCGACTCCCGACATAACCTTGGATCGCTCAAAGACAAAAATAAATTGTCCTGAGAATGCCAACAAGGTTTTACACCCCCAGAAGAAGATGCATTCACCAAATGATATCATCATACCTGGGAGGTCATGCCAACAGACAATACGATTTTTTGGCAATCATACCGATGAATCGTATTATCAAGTTGGGGTTGTGAATAATTTTCGAAAGAGAGTTATTCGAGAAATAAACTCTCGGTGTTCCTGTGCGCGACTCGTTAAAGCAGCATTATCAGAATGTGACTGTTTCAAACGAGAAGCCATCCCACGAAGAGTCTCTGTATTGTCGAAGCCTAAGCCGAGACATTTCCGCAAAAGAAAATCAGTTGCCCAAGATGATGAATTCCCTGAAGTCACCATCAACGTGGCTGATAAAAGAAAGTCTAAGCGGCATTCAAGTGACTCAAATCCCGACTT